GCTTGTCAGCGCCACAGCTGTGACTAAGCGGCGCATAACTACCAACTGTGAACTACGGGTAAGCTGCTGCTGCTTCTTCCAGCCGTTTTCTCTCTCTTTCTTTCATTCTAGCACCATGTCTACGCGCATTGCCTTCTTTTCGCTTTCGCCACGCGGTGCTTGCATTTTTTTGTTGTTTTCTTTTCTTTTTCGCCTATGCATTTTTCACTCTTTTTTTTGGCATGTTCGTAGGCGTTGATGATACCAACAACAACAACATGCAGCAAGGCGCAGGCAAAGTATGCACAGTGGGACAACAGAGCAGAAACATAAGCTGAATTTAAAGCTACATCAACGGAATTTGAATATATTTTAGAAGTAATTAGCGACTTTAAAAATATTTTAGTGATGTACAAAAAAAATCATATATACTATATATTAAGAACAACAAAAATACATAAGCTACCGAATATTTTCAAATAAATCGATCAAATTTAAGTTTTAACCTTTCCTGTGATTTACCTTATCATCTGTGATTAACTTAATTACTTTCTTCGACCTTATTAAGCATAAATATTGGACCTTATAAAATTGTCACCAATACATATCAAGTTTAGCCCAGTGTGCGCACTGCAGACGTTGTCGCTGCCAGCAAGAAACCATCAAACTGCAAAACTGCACGAAAATATGCAAAAACGGCCAAATGATTGCGGCTCAGTTGCGCGCGCTGCATAAACCATTCCCAAAGCAAACTTCCCCGCGCCCATACCCCCCTCTGCCCCATAAGCATAGCTTTTCTCTCTCTTTATGTGTAGGTCGTCGGTTCGGCTCTGGTTCCACAGTCCTGAATCCGGGCATGCATGCAACGAAAATGAAATTAAGTCAAGACGGTAGTCACATTAATCGACCGCACAGCCGTGCCAGTGCCCTCCCCGGCTCTGCTCTCCTTGCCCCCTCCATGCACGCCCATTTCCTCTGGCTGCCGCCCACCACTTGAGAGCAGCGGCTTTTGCTGGATTTATTTTCCCTTTTGTTGCCGCTGCCGCTGCTGCTGTTGCTGCTGCTGCTGTTGCTGCTGCTGCTGTTGCTGCTGCTGTTGTTGTTGTTGTTGTTGTTGTTGCTGGTGCTGCCGTTGATTTTCACTTCTTAGCAACAATTAAGCGCGCACATAAGTCAAAACCGCAACAACAACAATTACAACAATGCGCACAACAAAATGGAGCACACACAAAGTGGAAAAAAATTAAGAAAAAAAAAAACTGATAGGCCAGCTTGACCCGGAGATACTCTGTAAAAAGCACGCACCTTTAATTTGAACATTTTTAATACATAAGGCGTCAATATAATTATCAGTCTGACTAACTCTTCTTCTTCTCTTATTCTCTTTGCCTCTCTTTGTTTTTTGCTTCAGAGCGCAAGAGATAGAGATAGAGAAGAGCATCGATTGACAAATAAGTTAAAGTTCATAGCCAATTGGGGTTCGAACCTGGGTTTTTACAATTTTTCCAACTTTCAATAGAGCAATTGCATTTTTTTATAATTTTATTTACATATATATTTATATATTTATATTTTGAATTTATGGAAGATCTTCTTTTTCGATTCACGTTGAGGCTACTTTTTAGTCAAGGTTCAATTCCCGTTAAGTCAATAACTATTCTGGCTTGTTGCTTTTATAGATCTAATAATGCAATAAATAAAAAAATCGCTGCCAGTTGACGAGCTTGTTGGTCATTTAATGAGTACAGGGTATAATGAGGGACCGGGGCAGTGGCAAATGCTAGTCGCACATAGTAGCAAAAAAGCCATTTCCTGCAAACAACTGCCGTCGACAGCCACGCCCATCAACGCTGCCGCCCAACCCGAACCAGCAGCTTTTTAACAGCGCTTTAAAGCTAACGCCCGCCAGCCCGCCGCCCGCCGCCCACTTCCTGTCCGCCCACTGAGCATCGACCGCACAAATAATTGGAACTTAGTCTAGTTAAAGGGGGCAAGCAATCAGGGCAGCTGCAGCCGAGTGGGGTGAGTTGGGGTGGCAGGGGTTGTTGTGGGGAGTTTTGTGGCAGACACAATGAGCCGTTGCCGCAGCCTCTTGAAGTGCATTATCGTCGTTCTTGACGTTCTCGGGCAGCATCTTTTGTGGTGAAAGCCGCCTTCGCCCTCGCCCACACAGCTACCTGCCCCCCTCCACCCCCTGAGCAGTGGCATTGTGGCCGCATTGAGACCCAAAATACGCACACTCAATCATCGTTTTTGTCTTTTTAATGGGGATTTGCTCTCTCGTTCTTTCAGTCATACTGCTGGGCTCGTCATCAGCCGCATAATTATTGCCATTAGAGTGCGTCTCAATTGAGCTGAAAGAGAGTTTTCCACAGCAACAAAAACACAAACGACGCGTGTCATTGCGGTTACGTTGCACAGTGGGTCAATGCAGCTGTCGGAAGGGGCTGCAGCAACAGACCTGCCCCGGCCACATTTCAAGTGGCCTAGGCCCAAGTGAAAGTTCTTGACAATTGTGCATCATTAATATTGTCTATGGAGCTGCTGCTGCTATTCCTGTTGCCGCTGGCATTGGCCAACTGCAATGGCAAAGTTGGTAATCGGAATTGGACTTGGACTTGGACTAGGAGACGGGTGTCAGAAACGTAGCATTGTTTGTGCTTGAGGTCGTGGTCAGGTATGGAATGAATTCGAGGTTGCATGCTAGAAGCTGATGGAGTGAAATCAAGCCGGCAATTGAAGACCATTTTGGGTCAATTTCTATGCCTTCAAATGGCAGTAAGAGTAAAAAGATTGAGAGAAGACTGCTTTGGTCGGAAGTGCTCGACTTAGAGATACCCTCAAGCTAGAGCCAAGCTGATGTAACAAACAAATTTCTATAGGTTAGCTTATAATAACTTCGTTGTTTATCCAATCCAAACATAATGCAATTTTTAGGGCTTAAATATGACACACAAAAGCCTTTATATAGGCGCAAGGCTCTACCTTTAAGAATGAGAGTTTTCTCAATTTTGGGGGAAATTGGGGAGGTATTCAAAAAGGGAAATAGCTTCATTCGATTGGCAGGCTTTAAACTCGTTCTGTGTATGAAATAGAAGAATATAAAATATGGAAGAATCGACTCAGCTCGTCATCCTGATCCAGTTAGTCTCTTTCTGCCAGTTCACTTCCACTAAAGCATCATACCCCCTTTGAGCCATTTTCAATGGTTGCAGAGCAGAAGAGTGCTTAAAGTTAACTCAGTTAAGCTAAGCTGACAAACTTGGACTCAATCGGGGCGATAATAATGAGTAATCGAGGTTGAATAAATATTCAACTGCGCTTAAGATTATGCATTTCTTGAAATTTGATTGCAACGATATTTTTCACAATTATTGAAGTCATCAATTACAAGGGGTTTGATTAAGTAGAGATGCTTAACCCTAGCTCTAGACATTATTAAATATGTCTTCTCATTTTTAAAGTATAAATGGTTCTTAATCTAAAATTTAAAATATATATGCTAAAATCGATTGCAAATAATTTATAAAAAAAGCACGAGAAAATGCTTTAGGTCTAAGAGAAAGAAGGTTCAGGGAATCCCTTTTACTTGTTTATACTAAGGTTATAACTAGTAGCTCCTACAAGAACTCCGCGGTTCTATCAACAGCACATTTCCATCAATCGCTTGTCAGTTTTTAGCCGCAATAACTCTTTGAGAATTTTAAGCGTTAAGTAATGTAAAACAGTGGAGCGTTTAGATATCAATCTTAAATACTTAGAAAGTTGGGTACAAGAAATGCAGAAAACAAAAGTTAAATAAATGTTATACTTGCACAGCTTAATTATTTTCAAGTCTTAATTAAGACAAAAGCTTAAAGAGAAACAAGAGTGCTTTAAATAGAAAACGGGCTGTAAAACTGTCAAAAATAATGAGCAATATGACAAAGTTGACAACAAAATTTTCGAAATAGACATTTAAAGGCCATAAAAAGGTCAAAATGAAGAAATTAAATTGAGCCGCAACAAGGGCAGGCAACTGACCTCAGCTCGAATGCACGGCAATAGCCACGGCACAGACGAGCACACGAATACACATATGATATTGAAATATCATTTCTTTGGCTGATAACAATAGCATCAACATCATCGGCCACAACCTCATCATCATCATCATCATCATCATGATGAACAATGTCTGCCTGGGCGGCAACAGCCGACGCCCAGAAACTTTATCTATGTGTCAATTTATATTTGTTCGACGAGCCATTACAATATTTATTATTGTTCAGTCAGTAAGTGAGTGTGTGTGTGTGTGTGTGTGCGTGTGTGTGTGTGTTGAGTGTGAAGTGTAGTTTGCATGTTTTCGTATACATCTAATGAATAATAAATGCGCCTGGTAATCGTAAACGTAGCTGCACTTTGACCTTTAGCTGCTGTTCGTTGCGTCTCGTAAAAAAATAAATATATATTTTACCCATCCTTATCGCATTTAGTTGTCGCATTTGTTTGCCTTTGTGTCTATCACTGATTTGACTGAGGGGCGTGAAGCATTTTACTGCTGCTGCTGAACTCTGAACCCAACGCCAACGCCAACTCCAGCAACCAGCGCCTCAGCCCGCCCACCACATTCTAACAATAGCTTATAACGCCCCTTTGGTTGAGTAAATGATGTTTTACATGCTAATCCACCATATAGTTAAGCGAGCCTGCTCTGTATAATCGGCTTGAAGGCCAGACATTTCGTGTAATTTTGGTTAATGCCATTGGTCTGGCTGCGTGCTCGTAAGTATGCATTAATTATTTGCATAACTTATAAAAACCGCACAGTGTCTACAAATAGAATTGTATAATAAATAGATATATAAATATTTGTATTTAAATAACTTCTCACTTAATAAATTAATTTGGGCATTAGTGCTGATCAAGCACATGTGGTCGAAGATATAATATTTATAATAATATATATAATCCAGGTCAATTGCGCTAGCATAAATGTTATTTCCATATATAAATATGTATATGTATAAATATGTACTTACCCAAGTATTTATAGACACACGAACGATTACTTTATGGCTATGTTTTATCAGGAGATGCACATCACTGAAAGAAATAAGAAGTAGGGGGTGTATTAAAAAAACAGCAGGAGAAAGAAATAGAAAAAGCTGAGTGTGAATATAAACAGCGATAATATTAGGTTGCCAGCACATCGCTGCAAACAAAGCATGAAACTCTGAAAGTCGGCTTAAATTCATGAGAATCGCATAGAAGGACAATATTTAGGTCTACTTTTACTCTAAATTTGCAGCACCGTTTTAGAAAACAAGCCCAACTAATATACATACATATATTCATGCATACATAGATAAGCATATATATTCAGACATGTGCTCAAACCTATATTAACATAAACACATATACACTTAAATATGCCTACATATCCACACACAAACAAATAAATGCATATATCCAATAATTACAATTTACAGAATTGCGAACACAACATTTCAATTTCCAAATTAAAAATCAAAGCCTGAACAGCTGCAGGTCATACTTGATTTCATGAGAAGCTCATAGAAGGGCTGTATTAAGAAGCGGATGTGGTAAACATAGACATACTGAGACACACACATACATCATACACATTATTTGATTCCCAATACAACTCGTTAACATTTGTCATCTTCTTGTTTTGTAATAAATGTTGACAATCATTTGCTTTAGAGTTTAAATCTATGCTTTACATAAAAGTGTGTGATTTAAAAAAAAGATGGGAATTAGTTTCAATTAAGCTAGCTTACTCACTAGCTTATAAAATTATATATTTAAAGCATAACAACCTGCCTCTCCTTTGTGGCTTATTAAATGTTTGACATTAATATATTGTATAAAATTCCAAATATACAAAGAGAGATGTCAGCTGTGCAGCTGGAACTCTATTTATTTGTGTTGAATAGCCTTCTCACGAAGTATCCAAGTCTAGGCCCAACAGTCGCTGAGATTTTGTAAGTCTCAAATTGAACTAAATCGACAAAGTGCTCGCACAGCAAATGCTGCTTAACAGATCCGACCCAATTATGGTCTACTTAAGAAACCATGTGATTTGCATATTAAAGCCACAATATTCCTTAAGGATTTCAGTATCAATTTCAATTATCCTTATAAAATAGAATCTGTGCACTCGCATGCAAAATACGTTGCCTACTTTTGAGCGTCGCACAAAGCTTCTCGTTTTTTTGTTTAGTCGTTTTTCTGTGAACAGGTCAATCACCAGTCAGGAACCCTTTCTAGCCCTTGTTTGTCGCCTGTTCTTGTTGTTGTTGTTGTTGTCGTAGCTGTTGCCATTTAGTCAACAGCCTTTCGTCTGGTTTTCAGTGTGTTTCGCCTTTGGTTTTTGGCCGCATTTGTAATTTTGTCTTTGACAGCTGAAAAAGCTTTTGTGTGTATATTTTGGTACTGCATTCAACTCGAGCCCTGACCCCGCGCACAAGCACCCACTGTTCTGTGTTTCTCACTAATTTGACAACTACACTAGAGCTTACACCCACACACTCACACACACCCACACACACACACGCCATCTAAGCACACACACACACTGATAAGCAAATACGCTTGCAAACATTTGCAAAATATTGAAACATTTTTGCCTTTGTCTCTGACGCTTTTTTATTTGGCTTTATGGATTGTTTTACATGCTTGTTTGTTCTCTCCCACACACATGCACACACATAGACACACAACCACATGCACTCGCTTACTTACACACACTTGCACACAGTTATAGATATGCATATCTATAAATTGTATTTATATGTGTTTGTACTTTATGCAGCCCACAACGATAACAAAAAAAATTGTCAAGATATTTGTCATTTAGTCAATGACATTTATTTTCATGTCCCTCTTGCTAGGATTTTTATTACTACTTTTTTTAAATACCCTGTGTGTGGAATGCATAAAGGAGTTTCGATATATATTTGTCTACAAGGTATTTAATTTTATGGTGTTGGAGCTTTCAAATAAAAATACGTTTTTCTTATGCAATATTTTTTGTGCATGTTCGCACATGCTTCTATTAAATGAAGTATATTTTGTACTATTAACGTTTCGCGTTTCTTCTTCTTTTGCTATTTTTATAATTATTCAGAATTGTTCACATTCTCATGGCATACTTTTCTACTGTTTACGGGGTATCCATAGTCCATCATTAGCATGCGCAACTATGCATGATATATGTTGGTTCTTTTTTTTCGTATTTCCATGTTTTGTTTCCACAATGCGACAATACCCAATGCTGCTGTCCATTGTCGTTACTTTTGTTTCTGTGTTGTTGTTGTTATTGTTGTAGCTGTTGTAATTGAAGCATGTAATGCAAGCGGGCCCGTCCCCTTGACCTGCACCTAGTCCCTACTAGCTTGTATACGGCCCGCCCCCCTTCACGGCGATCCCTCTGAACTTGTCACACAAAAGCTTTTGGGAACATTTTGGCAACTGCTGTTCTCGATATATAATGACCTCGAGGCAACAACAAATACAATGAAAATGCTCGACTACAAACGAGCTTTGCCTCTTGGTTGAGTGCACTTTGTCTACATTTAACTATGTGTGACCGATTGTTATGGTTGTTGTTGTTGTTGTTTGCTCAACTACATAATCATCTATTAGTATTTACATAAAAGTACACTTGTTTGCATTTAAGCGGCAAGCGCCAAGCGGATTATGTTGAGCTCTGCCCAATATGGAACCCAAAAAACCCCAGAAAAACACACACACACAAACACGGAGACATAAGCAAAACACATTTCTCTGCGGCAGCAAGAAATTGTTGTTGTTCAGCAAACGGAAAATAGACTAGAGTAATTGATGTATAAATTAAAAGTATGGCAAATATTGAAAGCCAGTCACCCCTTAAATCTGCATTAGGACGCATTGGGCCGGCCTTGCAGTCAGGCATAAAATGCAAAAATAAAATACAAGAGAATATCAAACTCTTAGTTTTTGTGTTTATTTGATATTTATGCTTCAAGTGCTCCGAAGAAAAACTATGGAATTCGCAAGCTGGCCTTATAATTTTTCACTTATAAATACACTTTTGTTTGAGTAGAAATGGGCTTTGTCATGCGAAGTGTGACGCGGAGGGTTGGGTAATATTACCAAAAATTAAATATAATAAATATATATTTATTTTATTTACTAAGTAAAACAGAAGTCGAAGGCATAACTTCTGAGAACGACAATCGAAATAAGGAACACCAAAATCCGAGCCGTTTGATCGAAATCGAAATATGGAACAGGTCCGATAGTTTTCCAAAAAGGATTACTCATTCAAATTATGTAGACATTATATCAGTGGAAAATGCAATAGCTTTTCAAGATAATGAAAAATTAAATTATCTTGCCAACTTAAAAGAAAAAAGCCCGTAAGATTTGATCAGAATCTAAATAGAGAACAGAGAGCCTCGAAATATGTCAGAAATATGGATACTACGAACTATGAATAAAATAATATGAATAATACCAAACCAAATAAATTAAATGTAATACACAAATGTATTTACGCAGAAATGAAAACAAAAACGGCATAAATAATCGTATGCAATAAGAGTATGTATCTATAATTATAGCTTTTAAATTGAACGATTTTCAGTGCAATTGGCAAATGTGATTCAAGAGAATTTTAGATAAATTTCGCAATTTATTCTTTTCTCTTTTATATAAAGCATAACCTTTGTCAGCAAACTATGCCGAGCACTTGGACATTGTGCTATGCATCTAGATTAGGTTGAGCCCGAGCCAGGGCCAATGTCCGTCAAAGATGCCCACGGGGGAGGTGACACAAAAATCACAGACAGGGAGCTCGGTTTTACGAATTTACCAAATGAAGCTGCAAAATTGATAAGCCTTTGTTCCTATCACACACACGCATACACACACTCGCTATCTCTTTCACTCATAATTAAAGCAGCGCTCAGCCTATAGATAGTGCACATGTGTGTCTGTGTGTGTGTGTATTGATATGGATACTATATAGCATGCATGTAGCATGGCTGGCTTGATTATGTTCAGCAACAATTTGCATTTGCTGCAAGTGCTCAATGTCTCAATATCTGTTAGGAAATGCAAATATTTTCCATTCTCTGCCAGTTCTATGAAATTTAAACATGAATTTTAGTTATTTATTGTTTGCTTGTTGCTGTTGTTTTTGTTGTTGTTGTTGTTGCTGCTGCTTGTCTCGTTTGCGGCAAATGCATTTTAATATTTCAGCATTGATTTGTTATGCAAAAATGTGATGTGTGTGTGCATGTGTGTTTGTGTGTGTGTGCGGCGCCTCACTCAATGCGATTACATTTGGTTTATATATTGGTAAAATTATGCATACGCCGCGTTGGACAGACTCACATAATTTATCATTTATTATTACATATTATTATGCTTATGTTATTTAATTTAATTTGATTTCACATTTCAATTCCCGCACCCTCTCTCTCTCTCTCTCGTCTGTTTTTTTTTCGTATATACTATATATATTTCGCAGTGGCTTACGTGCTAAGCTCTGCGAAGTGGCTCCGTCAAGTGGGTTGGGGGCTGTTATTTGCCACACCAAACATTTTGAGGGTTGTGTGTGTGTTGCCGAAATGTCTTCGATAATAGAAAATATAATCAAAGCGCTATAAAAATGACATTTAACATGCGGCGTGCGTCGCCAACGCGTCTCGACTCATCTCTCCAAATGTCTCGCTTCTCTCTGCACGCTTCTCACTGCTGTGCCCGGTTTTGCTCCTTTCGCTTGAGGGTCTGCGCCTTTGGGGTCGCTGTATGGTGTGGTTTTTATTTCATTTCACTTCGTTGAGGGTTGGAACTCAATTTACTTGAAAACGCATCAAACAGCAAATTTTATGAATTTACAACGTTTCGGTTTTTGCCACCCCAAAACCCTCCAACCCTCCTTCCTAGCTATGTAAGACATTTTTTTTTTCATCTCGGGGTCAATGTGGGGCGACAATTGTCTGCCTGTGTTTGTGCGTGCATGTGTGCGTATGTGTCATGTAAGTGTAATAGAAAGCAAAGCTGATGGTTCGCCACTCACTCTGCCCGACTGC